CATTCCTAGAGTGAAACTCAAACATATATGTTCCTCACTTCGAGAACATAAAATCAAAATCAGTGATTCTGGAAGAGATATACCAGATATCGGATTGTTAATAGGAGCCGACTATTCCGGACAGTTTATGACGAATAATATCATTCCAATTGACAAAAACCTTATTGCCATTGAAACAAAATTGGGTTGGACCCTACAAGGCCCAGTGCAAAGTCATAATACCTTGCTTGGTACCGTCGGACTTTGTTATTTGGATCTCACAGAACTATGGAATTTAGAGACAATTGGCATAAAAGATCCGGCAGAAGTGAAGACTAAGGAGAATTTAGACAACGAAACGATTGAATTTTTCCAAGAGAACATTAAAGTAATCGAGGGCAATAGGTATGAAGTCTGTTTGCCTTGGAAGGATAGTCATCGGATTCTTGAAATTAATAAACACGAAGACTGCAGAAGATGGGATTTTTCGAAGAATATGATGGTATTATTAAAGGCTGGCACGAGGAAGGTATAATTGAAATAGCTCCAAATAATAGTGATACTGGTCACTATTTATCTCATCAAGCAGTAATCAAGGATTCCAGTCTTACTACGAAAGTGCGACCTGTATTCGATGCATCATTGAAGGATGAAAATGGGAGTTCCTTGAATGCTTGCCTCGAAAAGGGGCCGAATTTAATAGAAATGCTTCCAGAACTTTTGATACAATTCTGGCAACATGCAATTGGTGTTACTGCCGATATAAGGAAAGCTTTCTTACAAATCAGTTTGTGTGTCAGAGACAGACACCCTTTTTGAAATTCCTGTGGTGGAAAGATTCAAACAAAACCGAGATTGTTACCTACAGACACTGTGGTGTCGTGTTCGGCATTTCTTCGAGTCCATTCCTGTTGGGAGCAACGATTTCTTACCATTTGGATAATGCTCCACAAGATTTAAGAAGAACGGCACTTAGATTGAAGAAATCCTTTTATGTCGACAATTGTATAGTTAGTTTCGAAACCGAAGAAGAAGTCGTCAAGTTCAAAGAAGAGTCACAAACTCTAATGTCTTCAGGAGGTTTTGACCTTAGAGGGTGGACTGCTGCACCATTCAAAGATAGAAGCATGACTTCCTATCAGAAGGTCATTCCAATTCTGGGACTCTCATGGGACACCGAGAATGATGAAATCTATTGCAATTTAACCCTTTGACATTTTCGGAGAGTGCCCACACGAAACTATCTCTTCTGTCAGTCTCACAGAGGATATTCGACCCCATCGGATTTACAAGTCCAACCACGTTAATTCCAAAACTCATTCTGCAAAAAACATGGAAGATGAAACTTTCCTGGGATGAAAATCTTCCACAAGGTATAGAAAGAGAATTTCAGGCTTGGCTCAAAAGACTACACTTCTTGAATTATTGTAAAATTTCAAGAAGACTTGTGATTGGACCCTTCGATGACTGCTCTATCTCTCTACATTGTTTTAGTGATGCTAGTAAGGTATCTTATGCAGCATGCATTTTCTTACGTGCATATTTTGAGGGCAAAACTTCAGTACAATTGGTATTATGTAAATCAAGAGTAGCACCTGCCAAAGAAGTAACTATTCCCAGATTAGAGTTGCTTGGAGCACTTATAGCTTCTCGGCTGTACCGTCAAGTCATTGACGCTCTTAAATTGACAAAGTGCCAAGTGTACTTTTGGAGCGACTCGTCTGTAGTTCTGACATGGATAAAAAAAGACTCCCACTGGAGTGTTTTTGTGGCCAATCGTGTAGCTGAAATAAGGAGATGCACAAATCCGGACGACTGGCATTATGTACCAAGCTTAAGCAATCCAGCTGATCTTCCCTCTAGAGGGTGCGATGCCAAAATGTTGCTACAGAGCAGATGGTGGGAGGGGCTGGATTGGCTTAAACAGAAGCCAGATAAATGGCCTCTCTCTGAAGAGTCAGAACTAGAAACTGATGAAAGTACAGTTAATTCAGAAAAAAGGAAAAATGTGGTTTCTAGCGTTTCCTGTAGAACCCCAAACTTCACAGAAACATTCACTCGATTTTCTGGATATTATAAAAATGTGAGAGTATTAGCTTGGATCTTTAGATTTCTTAACAACAGTCGTCATAGAAAAAACGAAAAATTTAATAAGGAATTAACCTCAGAAGAAGTGAGTTTTGCAGAGAAAAGGTTGTTATATTTAATCCAAGCCGAAAACTTTCGGAATACTGATGGAAAAAATTTGAAAGGGATGATTACATTTAAGGATGACTTTGGACTTCTTCGAGTAAGAACCAAACTAGTTTTAAGTGATGAAGACGAAAACTTTAAGTGTCCTTTTCTATTGCCAGGGAGCCATGCACTAGTTCATTGCCTAATAGAACAGCAACATCGGCGACTGCAGCATGCAGGTACAGGGACCTTGATCTGCAACTTGCGAGAAGATTATTGGATTGTCGGTGTGAGACGTCTTGTGAAGAGAATTTGTTCAAAGTGTGTTATTTGTAAAAGATTCAAAGGCAAATCTGTTCAACCACCAGTTTGCACCCTTACCAAAGGAACCGCATTAAAATATGCTGGAGCTTTTGAGGTCACTGGCATCGATTTGGCTGGCACACTGTATGTATTGTCTGGCGAAAAAAGCATGGATTGTGATTTTTACTTGTGCGATTTATCGTGCTGTGCACTTTGAATTGACGAAATCTTTATCAGCAGATTCATTTATAATGGCACTCCGAAGATTCATTGCAAGAAGGGGTAGAATAAGCATCTTATATACTGACAATGGTACCAACTTTGTAGGTACGAATAATGCACTAAACGAACTTGATTGGGAAAAAATAATGGAGTTCTCAACAATTGAGAAGATTAAATGGAAATTTAATCCTCCAACCGCTGCCTGGTGGGGAGGATTTTGGGAGAGGTTGGTACGGATGGTAAAAGATCTTTTAAGACGAGTTTTGGGCTCTAAAACGGTCAGTTACATTGAGCTGGAAACTATACTATGCGACTGTGAAGCAACAATGAATTCATGACCCTTAACTTACTTAGAAGACGGGACTGAGGAGTTAAAGCCATTGACACCTGCATATTTTATACAAGGAATCCCTCACCATGATGTAAAGGATCTGGATACTATAGAGAGCAAAAGTTTAAATCGTCGCTTGCGGTATTTACAAAAATCTTCGGACTGATTTACGCTCGAGATTCAGAAATGAGTACCTAGCCATGCTAGTCCATAAAAGAGAACGAAAAGAAGACACTTTAGAGGTGGGTGATGTGGTGCTGATTGGAACTCCGGAAAAGCGCATCAACTGGCCACTGGGACTTGTTGTCCAAGTATTTCCAGGTGCAGATGGTCATGTAAGAGTGGCAAAAGTAAAAACGGCTGACGGAGAAAAAATAAGACCCGTCCTGTAGCCTTTAGAAGTGACTCGTCCCTCAGAGCTACCTCAGCCTCAAGTCTCGTTAAATCCAGATCAAGATGCGGATCGTAGAAGTTCCCCCCAACTACCAACAGCCCTGGATGGTCAGACTGATACCTCAAGGATAGTTGAGCCTCTGACTGAGTCCCCTACAATAGGCAGACCCATAACCACTAGGGTCGGAAGACAAGTAAAAGTTCCTCATCGACTGAATCTCTGAACTGAGTAGGGAATATGTTGCAATTTCCTAAAATTGCAAGGTGGGAGGATGTTCAGGAATGTGCATGAACTCAGTTAATAAACAATAATTTAATATGTTCATTATAATGTAGATTTTTTGTGGCAACAGTGATGTTGTTTACATATTACTTTGAGCTTGATAACGCATTAGATGTTATTCTTTTTGATATGTTTAGAATGCTAAATAAAATAGTTCGTTGTTAATTAAAAAGGTTTTCTCTGCTAAATATATTACCATTTGTCCGAAGTTATTAAATAAGTAAAGAAATTGATCTAATTTCAAACATAGTGTAAATTAAAGGAAAAAAGTATATTAACATTGATATTATTTGCAGATATTAACAGATTATAAATGCCAGCATTTTGTAGCTTCAGAAAACATCATTACAGCTTAGCTTTAGAAAACATCATTACAGCTTAGCTTTAGAAAACATCATTTAGAAACAATCATTGTTTGTGTTCTAGAAGACTTGTAAATCTCTCCTATCACAATATATGTTTATAGTAGCTTTATATGAATGAAATTACGTTTTAGTCAGTCTACATTTTACATAAGAGAAGAAAGAAATGTTAAAACTATTTATAGTTGGAAACAATTTAACAGTTATTACACAATATAGAAAACAACAAGGGAAAATCCTCATATTTACTTGACATTCATAGAAAAAAATATTGTTAACCTGAAATCTCAGAATATTCCTAAACATTTATGGAAACACACAGAAAGACTTCATAATCTATACAGAATAACAGCTCACATGGAAATACTAATTACTAGACTTCTCTTGTAAATTTAGAAAGATATATATTAACAAATGGAATGACAAAATATACATTTTTCTCAAATTCATTTTATCATAATTTAAAGTTAACAAAAGGACAGCAATAAATATCAAAACAGTAATCATAAGAAATAAAATTTTATAATATAAATAAAAGAGCATTTACTGTATTGAAAACATACAAAAGCAAGAACACATGCTTATCTTTCACAATATCAAAATTCCTTACTCACAATATACTAACAAACAAAGTCTATTCAATAATATAAAAGATAGCAATCCCTTTCTAATTCTCCATCCACTCAAGCATTTGCTATTGAAACGCTTATTCCAAAATACCACTGCCAGTTTCTGTATGCAAATCTTTTCTCTTTGCCATATACTGTCTTTATAAATCATCTGGACCTATTTCAAGATGCCTATGTATGTATGTATGTATGTATGCTTACTTATTTTATTAGATTATTATGATAAATATTGCCAATTGCTATGCACAGCTTGGAGAGATGAAAGGTTACAAACAATTAAAATAAAAAATATTTTTTAAAAAAAAAGGCTAGAAATAATTCACCTTCATTTAAGATCCATTTAACTGCTCCTGTTTTCATGCTAACTGCATACAATGTCCCATTTAAGGTGGATACCAATATGGTAGGGTCTTGAATGGCAAGGATATTAGATGGCTGAAATTTGAAAATAATAATCTGTGAATACAAATTTCCTTTTATTAATACAAAATTTCAGGGGTAATACATAATTTAAGATTCTTACAACAAAAATTCTTTGTTTAATTGGTACTTCCTTATCATAGCCCCCCCCCAAAATTTAATTGCTAATCAACCGAGATGAAACATGAGGTATAAAAACACATGGTGACATATCTCATTTGATTAGTGATTCGATCATGTGGGTTGCTTTACTAAAGAAGTAATGTTTATTTTTGAGCCAGACACTAGAATCCGAGAAAGAACCATAATACCCTCAGAACACTCTGAAGCCTTTGTTCAAAACAAGCTTTAGTCTCCTTTACATTATATTTGATCATGTAATAACAACAGGACTGAGAGGTTTCATTATGCAGAACAGAAAATTATTTTAATCAGTAAAACAACTGTTTTGTAAATGCTATGTATGTTATACATGCTTTCCATTAGTGATTTTACATAATTTTATAAATTAAGCCCTTTAACCCTGCAATGGAGGAGCCAGCGTACAGAGTATGCCAATGCTATCTTTTGGGCTGTAATTGTTAGACCACCCCTTCCTGAGCTTCCTCCCTTCCTCTACCCTCCTAGAAATATTCCATGAGTGCAACGCATCTAGTATTTCTGGTCAGTCTGGTTTTTGCCTTCCTACCGAAAGCAGTTATTGTGAAAATGCCGCATAGGCAAACACAGTAAGTACACAGTAAGTACGCTCCTCCAAGTAAGTACAGAAAGAATATTGTATCTCCTGAAGATTATTTGCCCGTTTTAGAAGAAGTCTCGGTTGATGAAGACTCTGACAGTTTGGATAACACATATGATGTTGAAGATTCGGAAATCATCGAACATTCTGATCGTGAAAGTGACTCAGAAATTGAGGAAAATCTTTCTAAACATCCTCATTTTCCTTCCTCAAATGATGTTTCCTTAACAAGTGACGATTTTAGTGATGTTGAAAATGACATAGGTGAGTAAGTCCATATGAGGACTTTTTTCTAAAAACAATTTACAAAACGAAGAAAGTTGGAGGAAAGTTTCTGACAGAAGAAAAGGAAACGTATAAGTGGAATAAAGTTCCCCTCAAAAGCAAATTCACCAGAATGCCTCGAAAAAATTTTGATGAAAAAATATTCTTAAGTGCCAAAACTTATGATGATATAAATGATGAGCTTTCTGCTTTCCAGAAAATCCTAAATACAAATATGATTGATGTACAATATACAATTGTATAATATACAAATATTTATCTCAAATGTAATATAATGTAATAATGCAGATGATCTCCAAAGCATTTCAAAGAGAAGCATGTATGACACTAATAGAGCAGAAATATTGGCCTTTTTAGGAATTTTATTCTTATTAGGGTGCAAAACAATGTCAAAACTCAATTTGGAGGAAGCATGAGCAAAAGACGGTACTAGAATTGAAATTTTGCAAGAGGTCATGGGTCTCAAGCAATTCAGAAACCTGTGTACTGCTATTAGATTCGACGATAAAGGCACAAGGTATATGCGAAAAAAGAACTTATATTATTATTACATTATATTACATATAGAATTTTTTTAATCTTTCAATCAGAACTGTCAAAACTTTTATACACCAGGTGATGAACTTACAATTGACAAGAAGTTGAACCCTTTCGCGGGAGATACTCTTTTATCCAATTCATCCCCAACAAGCCATCAAAGCACAATCTGAAAATTTTTCCAGTTGTTGACTCACGAAAGTTTTATACATTGAAGCTTGAGATTTATAGTGGCAATCAATTCCCAACACCTTACGAGGCTTCTAATTCAAGTATTGACATTGTCAAAAGGCTAATTGGTGCATACAAAGGTTCCAACCGTAGCCTGATGACTAATATTTCATATGCAACTAAAAAAAAATAAGTGTGTAATACTGCTCAGTACTTTACACGATGATGACAAAACTGACCAGGAAACGAATAACCCTCACATAATCCTGGATTATAACAAATATAAAGGTGGAGTTGACACCGTAGAGACCAACTTTGTAGTAATTTCACTGTTGCCCGAAAAACCAAGAGGTGGACAATGGCAATATTTTTTGCACTGGCTAAACGTAGCGGGCATATATTCGCAAGTGCTCTTGAAGTTCGCCAAACCTGATGCAACCATCAAGTTTAGAAGATATTTTTTGAAAAATCTAGCTACATCTTTGATGAAACTGCATCTTCAGAATTGTCTAAAAATGCCATTTCTCCTGTCGCATTCCAAAGCTATTACTAGAAGGCTGGTAACAACAGAAACGGACAAGACGGCCGAAAGGGACGAGGAACCACCTGTAAAAGATCAAAGGACGCTGCGCTGAGTGCTGTAGAATGATGCTGCGCTGAGTGCCATAAAATGTTCTGAGTGTTCTAAGTTTACCAGCAAAAATTATCTGGACAAGACAGTACAACTTTGCAAAACCTGCTGCAGTGAACAGGGACAATCGGAAGAGGATTAAAGCAGCAAAAGTTTTCTAATTTTTTTCATTTGTGAAATTTATTACTTACCGAACTTTTCTCTATGGAATATTTATAATTTGTAAATTTGATTTATGATCTTATAATTTTCATACAGAAAATAATACAGAATACTATATAACTTTAAATTACATTTCCAACATATTCCATTTTTTGAATTAATTAAAAATTCATAATTTCCACCTTTACTGCTTTTTTTCCTTTATTCATTTTCTTATAACATTTTTACTATGACAAATCATATTAATGCCATGTATAAGATTAAATAGTTTCAAACACGAAGCAGAGGCTCAAAAAACAACCTTGCATACTTCATACACCGCCCCTCTAAAACTGTACCATACACCAGCCCCTCCAGCTGAGGGTTAAAACATACGTGATTTTTGTATTTATATTAATACATTCATAATAACCTTTGAAATGTAAATATATTAACAAATTACTTTATGGTAAAAAATGTCACTATTTTCGAAAGATGTCGTTATTATTATCTAGGAAATTACTAACATTCTTACTTGTATATGATTCGTATTAAATTTTAAATCATGGAGCAAATAACTTTGTTTCAATTACTTATAAGTTTTAAAATGCATATTTCTGAGACACAAAATGCAAGTCAGGGTTCTGAGTTAGTTTATTACTACAGACACATAAGGGTCCACCTGCAGTTTTAATGTGTAGTACCTAATCAATATAAGCTCAAAAAATAACTATTGATGCATTGAAACCACACACAGGCCGACATAAAGAATATATGATACACATTTGCTACCTTCCTGTCATCAACTGTCATGTTAAGTGTAGAGGGGGGGCGAAGATGAAACAGTACACCATTTACATTCCAGCTGATGAAAACAGGCCACTGGGAGAAAAAGAATCTTATAAAACTAAGTACTGGTTTTAAGTTTCCATATTCAATTTGACATTCATATCATATAAGCGAAATGATGTGCTTAAATATACAATATGCTGCATTTAAAAGTTGACCATTTACAGAAACAGCACATGAAAAAATGTCACAAATGATCTCTCTCTTTAGATCAGTTAATTCTATCTACATCAAGGGTTCCAACAGAGACATTATTGAACTCCTGCAGGTTAATGAAATTTCAATCAAGTCAATGATGATTAAGGGATCAATCAATACCAGAACATGCACTGGCAATTCACTGGCATAATTAAGGGCACTTATACATTACCCCATAAATCAAAGGCTGAAATTACAGCAATGGTCGCCAATTGCTACTCCAGAATTCTAAAGTAAGTGGTCACCCATAATTGGGGCCGAAGAGGCCAGTCAGCAAGATAATATGTAAGTACCTAATTAAGATTCTACTTAATCCCGATTACAAAAAGTGTCAATTAATAAAATTGATAATTAATTGTTTATTGATATACAGTTGTATCATGTAGTGAAGAAGAAAAAAATCATATAAAATAAATGAAGAAAAATTACTTATTATAATTTTCAATTAATATTTTTTAATATATAATTTTTTATGCAATATAAAAAACAAACGCAATAAAAAAATTTTAAAATAAAAGAAAATTTGAAAGGTTTCAGATTTTAAAGTATGTCCAAAGGGGCATTTTTTTAACATTTTGTGTGTTACCTTTATTTATTAAATATCATATTCTTTGCATTTAAACCATGAAATTCAGTTCAATAGGTCTATCGCAAAAAAATTTTAAATTGAGCTTATCTTTAAAATTTCCAATACACAACCTCACGCGCTGGAGATAAAAATGTTTTTTCTGTATAATGTTGCCATGGCTCGCTTTGAAATCCTTGAATTGGTTAATCAAAAATCCATTAAAGATTTACAAAATATGAAATCGATCATAAAACAAAGTCCAAATTTCAAATTTGGGCTTCCATATGCCCATATTGGCAGTAGGATAAGTTTAATCAAAATTTGATGGCTCTAGGTACTTTTTTTTTATCACAATGCGAGAAATATACACACATTTATGCAGATTCTTCATTATTTAATTTCTTCACATATATAATACAGGGTGATAATATTTGGTGACGACTGTTAAAAAGTGAAATGGACTTTGGACGCAAAATCGCAAAACGTAAACAATAGTTCCTTAGGCACAAAGCCCATTTGGACTAATAAATGCAATATAAAAATATATGGTACATATTTCCTTTCAAATCACTTTGGATAATAATTCATTTATTATATTCATTATTTATTTTTATTATAATTAAGGATTGTCTAATCATAAAATTAGTCCTATTAAGGACAGGAAAAAAATGAGAAGGCTTCTTCTCATTTTTTTCCTGTTTTAAATTATTTATCGGTAATACAGTCAAAAGTCGTTAATTCGGACACCCATAATCCGGAATGATCTATAATCCGGACCTCAAAGCTAAAATCTTTCTGCGCATGCGCCGCGTTGACGCATGCTCATAGGCGTTTTACGCGTCCGCGTAAGACATTTACGACTGCGCACATGCGTCTGCGCAAGTGCAGAATACGTT